CACACACACACACACACACACACACACACACACACACACACACACACACACTCACACACACACACACACACACACACACACACACACACACACACACACACACTCACACACACACACACACACACACACACACACACACACACACACACACACACTCACACACACACACACACACACACACACACACACACACACACACACACACACTCACACACACACACACACACACACACACACACACACACACACACACACACACATATATATATAATTAAACGATGACGTTGACGATGAACAGGTTATAGGATGCTCTTGTAAAGAATATACATTCTTACAGATTTTGTCTAGTTAGGTTATTGTATATCTGTGTTTTAACCCAAGCTCATAACAAAAATCCTTAAAAAATGGGATAGATTTAGATATCATACATTTGTGAATAAAAAAATGATAAGTTTTAGCATGTTGTCAATGCTTTTTATTTTGTTCACAATAACAAACGACGTCTTTTACTGTCAGTTATATAAAAGAGATGTGAAATGTTTCCAAAGTGTGCAATTTGACAATCATAAAACAAAAGACACACTCACTCTTCTATCGTTTCACTTAAAAAATCGTACACTTCTTCAACACCAAAAGTGTCTGTAATCCTATGCGAATGTTACAAAAGCTAAATGTTTTCACCAACAAAACGATCTTTGAATACACGCCCTTATCTGTTTTCCGCCAATGAGTTTTAGCCAAACACACTGAGCTATCCAATCATAAAAGCGTTATCTACATATGCATCTCTTTGGAAACGCCCCTGATCCTAATCGACCAATTAGTCTTTCGCTTCAGTCAGTCAATCAACTCTCCCCGCCCAGCTCTTCTGACAGAACGGAAGCCGAGATGGGCCAAACTAGCCCAGCCGGATAACAGAGACAAACTTGGCAGCGAGCGGATGAACTGGTCGGATCTTTGTTCTTCACAGCCGCAGCCCTCAACCTCTTTATATTTTTGCGTATCGTTACTTATATGTCTCACATTTATATCAAGATTATATAAAATACTCCTTCACTGGGCACTCAGTTTCAGCACAGGCATATACTTTTTGAGCTAGCATATTTTCTTAGTGTTTTTAGTTAATTCTTCCCCCCCACCGACGACGTTTTATTGGACCAAGATAGGCGGCGCGGGCACCAAGATGTCGAACCGGATGGTGTGCAGAGAAGCGAGCCACGCCGGCAGCTGGTACACGGCCTCAGGTAGAGCCAGAGACCCGAGAGCAGCCCGGGCCTGAGGTCCGGTGTGCTGCGTGTGTGTGTGTGTGTGTGAGAGAGAGAGAGAGTCTGAGTCTGGCAGTGTCTCAAAACCTAGTGAGCTGTCTATCTAGACAGCATTTTTGGGACGTTCTGTACGCTCAAAAGTGCTGCCTAGGTAGGCAGCTCACATTGTTTTTATACAGAGGCTGTGCGATGAGCTGGGAATTATTAAATAGCTGTGCCTAAAATGGTTTAAAGACAACAGAACGAGTTTTTTTATTTTTGTACCTTTTGAACTGACGGTCTTTTAAAAGCTAACTAACTTTATTTAAAATGCTGAATAAAACATCAGCTTTATTTTGTTAGAAAATAACTTGAAAGAGATTTCATTCTGCTCAGAAATTAATCTATATCTAGAAAAAAGTGGGCCTCGGTCAAAAAAAATCTCATTTAATTTGTCTTGGCATGTAGATGATTATTTCATGAATTACTTTAAACGTTAAAAATGATTTTGAATAATTATAGCGGCATTTCAATGAGCCAATTACATTTAAATTTTACTTAAATTGACTAGACTGTGTGTTTCTCTCAGAGTTGCCTGTTGTTGTTTATTTTTGTGTTTCTATTGTTAATGTGTAGCTTCTCTGTGTGTAATAGCAGCTGAGAACAAAAACAGACCACCAGTTAGCTGGTTAGCCTACAGCCGGTGTGTGTGAATCTTTCATACACGCCAACCACGCAAACTAATACCACAGATTAATATACCATCCACGCTAACGCTATCCAGCCCTACTTTTCCGAATCAGTAAATCCAGATAGATAAACTTCTGTCGCCGTTCAGAAGGCTGGACTTACCCTGCTAACGGCTAAAGCTATTTAATGAAGTTCATATGACAGCTGTACATGACAGCTGTGTTTTATGGAGAATAAAACCTGTTTTTTCATCAATATTGATGTCAAGTAATACTGTGTTTATTGTTATATTGGTCAGCATTTATGTCCTGTTCCATTCCAGTTAATACAGGGAGCACAGTCAGCACATGAAAGTCTTTAGAGGGCCGGTGGTATTTTTCTTCTTCAAAAAGAGTAACAAAAAGCCTAGTGCTACACACACACACACTAGATAACATATATTTACACTGTACAGAAGCTAGTCTGCTGGCCTTTACATGAGGATCTGCATTCTGCATGCTGTCACCATCATTAGAGCTCGTGTTTTGTCCGAAAAACACACATTTATTTTAGTGTGGTGTCTTCTGGTGTTTTGTTGATGCTTTTCCCCACACTGAGTAACTGTACCATATATGACATGCATGACTTTTATATCTTTAGTTACAGTTTTCAGATCATGACTAGTTATTATTCATCTGGCAATGATAACTTTGGCCAGTTAACAGGTGTGTCAGTTCAGTTGGACAAATTGTACAAAGTCCTGAATAATGGTAATTATATTTATATATTAAATTGATTTATACCTGTATTATATGTTTGAGACTGCTATATTGGTATTCCTCATATGTTCTAGACTGATATAATTGACCATTTTTAAAACCCATATATTTTAGATTTATTCTTTATATGTGCTAGAATAAATTATATAAATGATCTCTTACACTGCATTATATAAAATCAGCACTATCACCACATTCAACCACCTAACTTTCTATATATTAATATATGCATCAGCCATACAAAGCCATGTCAGTCAGACACTAAAATTAATGCATTTGCACATGCGCGAATAGTCAGGCCTGGCTGCTCTTTGGAATATGATTAGTGATGTAATGGTATGATTCATTACAGTGTAGAGATTTGATTAACAACTGCTAAAATTTGACCAAATTGGTTGTATTCTTATTATTCCTTTTACAGAATCAGCTGAACTTCATCTGTTCACTGGTTCTCAAAAATGTTATCTTGTCCTGTCATACTCTGATAAGAAAGTCATTAGGACTGGGACAACGGCTCTGTCTGAGGCTGAAATATTGCTGAAATCAACATTCAGGACAGCCATTTCACCTACTGAGTCATTGTTTGTTTGACTGATTTATAATTAGAAATATAGAAATCCATTAATGAATGCTTGATTATAAAATCTTTTAGCATGTAGCGAATTTTGTTGTTGTTGCATTACAACAATGAACATTAGGGATGAAAATGTGCTTAATGACAAATAAGCACATTTTCATAGTGCTATTTTTAAATAACAGCAAAAGAGAGAATGCTTTCTTACAAGTCTACCTGAACATTTGTTTTACACAATATCTGTCATGAAAATAATGCATTAAAATCACAATTATGCTAAAATAGGCTTCATTTTCTTTGTCTGCAATATTTTGCGGTAATGTATAATTAATAGATTATAAACTTGTCATGCTTCAAAAATATTTCTACATGGTGAAATTGATACTGTACAAAATACATTTGGAAGACGTTCAAATAATCTTCCCAGCTGAAGTTTCAAAGTTGTAAAATTATGTCTGCTTCTCTCATATTTCCTAATGACATTTTCCTGTCTTTACAATTAGGATCCCAGCTTAACGCACAACTCGAGGGCTGGTTATCTCAAGCACAATCTACAGCTGGTCCAGCTAGAGCCATTATAGCACCGTATGTGGAGTGAAAGCAGACAAACATCTTTTTTTCCCCTTCTGTTTCAGTTGTGATTCTGCATTCTAAAACAACTGTCTTTTGCAGGCACGCTGGCTACACTTACTGCGGCGCGTGTGCCGCCCACGCCTACAAGCAGGTGGACCCCTCCATCACGTAAGTATCCTTCCTGTCATCAGAGCTTCTTTAAATTCTCTTGAAGTAGCCGTAATGTTGGGTTTTCCGTGGGGAGAGAGGTAACTGCAGCGCTCTCTTATGCATCAGTCGGAGGGTGTTCATACTCGGCCCCTCTCACCATGTGCCGCTGTCTCGCTGTGCCCTCTCCCCCGCCGAGGTCTACAGAACGCCACTGTACGACCTGAGGATCGACCAGAAGGGTAAGCAATCTCATTTCCTACCTTGGCAGGATTAAATACTGATTGAATAACAGTACACAGAAAGGTGTCGCCCAGAATATATTTTTTTAAATATCTGGCTCATTTGATCTCAAACGGAGCTTTGCAGAAGAGATTGCAACATTTTCCATGTTGTAAATGACTAAATTTGTTATTATGCGATAGTTTTGTGGCTATAAACATGACAAATGTGCAACACAAATATGAGAATCTTTTATTTGATGATGCTCATATTAATGAGGCTTTGTGTAATTATCTTTGTAACTCCTCAGTTCAAAACACAAAGGCTTTAATTCTCCCTGCCCCATCTCTTTCTCTGGCAGTTTATGCTGATCTGTGGAAAACAGGCATGTTTGAGAGGATGAGTCTGCAGACAGATGAAGACGAACACAGCATTGAAATGCACCTGCCTTATACCGCTAAAGCCATGGAGAGGTAACAACCAGATATTGAACATCTTCATCCGGACCGTTAAGGGAACAGTTCACCCAAAAATGGAAATTCTGTGATCATTTACACACCATGATGTTGTGGAACACAAAAGAAGATACTTTACAAATGATCTGTTTTCTCCTCCATACGATGAAAGTCAAAGGTGGTTGAGTGTTGTTTTGGACCCTACTGACTTCCATTATGTAGACCTTAATAGACTTCCATTATGTGCACAAGATCTTCAAAATATCAGAAACATTTTTGTGTTCCACTGATGAAAGTCAGTCATACAGGTTTGGGACAACATGAATTATCCACTGAATACCTCAGATTCTGGGAAGACTCAATACTTGAAGCATGAACACTACCATTCAAAATATTTTTTTGTTTTTTGAAAGAAGATAACACTTAGAATTTAATACTTAAATTGTTAAATGTGACAGTAAAGAATTTTACATTGTTACAGAAATATATATTTCAAATAATAATAATTATTTTTTTTATTTTTTTTTATTTTTTCCAACACCATGTTAATACCGTTTTCAATACTGATTATTCTGACAAATTTGAGCACTAAATCAGCATATTAGCTATATATATATATATATATATACCAAATGTCCAGTAATCTGAGTGTAAATGTGTGACATCGGTTAAGTATTATTATATTATACTTTTTTTGTAATTATACAAAAAAAATTGGGGAAGGCAAAATTCTTGTTAACCACCCTAAATCAAATGTTGCTCAAACTAATGATAACAAAAGCAGCATGAATCTGGTAAAGAAGATACACATGCTTTCATTTCTCATCCACATCATGTCGGCATCACAGACATTCTCTCCACTCTCACGCTCTCCTTCAATGTGACTCGCCAGAAACAAAAGCTGCCTTTTGCCTACATAGGCAGCATAGACTTCTATGGCAGCATCCTAATTAAAGTTAAACCTATTAAGTGAGTGTTTTGGAATGCTTTAAATAGGTAGGAAGTTGGAACCCATACAAATATCCCTAATGAAGGTTTTTTTTGGTGCCACCTCTAGTTAAACGTTTAATTTGAACTTTTTCATATGTTCTACAGGTCAACGTTTCCGTTACACCTACTACGATGAAAGTCAAGGAGAGATCTACAGATCTATCGAGCACCTTGACAAAATGGTAAACCTGTTTCTATTCCCCTTTGCTCCTGGTAACTCACGTAATGTCTGACATATGAGGCTTACATGCAAGTGGCCCATTCTGGTTTGGGATACACTATGTGCTAATCCTATTGGAGGTTCTAGAAAAAAAAGATGAGGAATCTTTCTCCAAGCTAAAGAGTCATTGTTATGGTTACTGTGGTAGTCGGTGATTCAAAGACAGACTTTAATACATTCCACCCATGACAGTCTGTCAAATAGCAGATGCTCTTAGCAACCCAAACCTCATTAAAGGCTTACCAACTGGGCAAAGTACTTTTGCCTCTGTATGGTAATTTACTGGACAAGGACCGTGTTTGAACTACACCAAATGTCAAATCCAACATTAGAGAGTCCTAAATAAAACTAAACTAAAAATTACAACATTATTAATGCCAGTAATGAGAGTTTTGTTGACGTCAGTGAAATGTATGAATGTATGTTAATTTCCTTTTTTTTTAAGGGAATGGGAATTATAGAACAGTTGGACCCCATCTCCTTTAGCAATTATTTGAAGAAATATCATAATACTATTTGTGGTCGCCATCCCATCGGCGTTCTTCTAAATGTAAGTACCTAATGAATGATTCATATGAAAGACTATATGAATTTCCCCCAGGACATTTTATTTAGCAAACTGCTGTTGACTCAAAGCAACAGCAAAGTAATGCAAATAATGGACAGTCCGTAAGCATGGTAATTAGCCTAGCACTTAACTGTCGCAGAGCTTTTATTAATGTCCTTTTTCCCCCCCTAACTAATGTCTTGCTAACTACCCGCTCTTTCATTATGAAGCTTTTTAAGATTACCGTTGTAAGTCTAAAAGCATCTCTTTAGTGTTGACTCTCCATTGATTCTCTTCCCTCCATCAGGCCGTGGCGGAACTGAAAAAGAACGGCACAGACATGAACTTCTCTTTCCTAAACTATGCGCAGTCGAGCCAGTGCCGAAACTGGTCGGACAGCTCTGTGAGTTATGCTGCTGGAGCTCTCGTCGTTCATTGAGGTGAACTTTCCCAGGAGCCGCGGAGCCTCCTAGAAGACCCAAGCCCCTCCCACCCGTCCCGTTCCTGACAACGTATCCCCATCCTCCCCCGCCTCTTCTATAGGAAGGACATACAAAGTTTGTCGCAGCTGGGAATCTTCATACATACCCCGAATCCAGATTTAACGTTAGATACTAACCTCCTCTTCCTACAGCTTTCCCTGTACCCCGATTTCCACGTGAGGCAACTTGGATGATGCTATAGCTTGAAGTACAGTCGCAGTCTTTTGGGTGTTGCAAGGTCAGATTTTTGATTGTGTTTTTGGTCTTAATGAGGCAAAATCTGCTTTTGACCCTCCAAGGATGTTAGGTATCTGAAGAGCCTTTGTGTAATTTAAAAGCAAGACACATTTAAAGTTTAAATAAAAAATCAAACCATTGACATTGCACTCTTTTTGCAAGTCTGCATATGTAATCTACATAATGTCTCACCTATTGATAAATAATGAGAAAAAGGAAGTTGACAGACTGCAACATGCTATGTTCATGTACACCCTGAGAATTGTAGTAATAGCTACCGCGTTGGTCCTGTTGTAGTTTGTAAAGGGCTACACAATACCCACTAACCCTCCACTGTTCTGGATATACCAAAAAATAGTTTTTCTTTCATCTAATTTTTTATTGTAGTCAAATTAAAATTCTTATATTCTGTTCTGTTTATTTTCTCTTTGTGATTACCATTATTTAGCTTTCTAGTTTTACGATGCATTTGACGTATTTATCTCAAACTCTGTGGAAGCATATAGTAGTGTTTGAAGTGCAGTACAGGTGGACCCCTTTCAGACTGCCTCAAAATGGCCGTTCTGTCCCATCAACCCTCAATTTATTTTGGTTATTCTGAAACAATTTTATTTTCACATGCAAGTTAGCAGCCATGTTTAACATCCGAGTAGTAGTTATTTATGCACACCCATATCAAGGAACCGCCAGAGGTGGATTTTCTGAAAGGCGTAGGCATTTTGTCTGGCTTTCCTCTTTATTCCATCTACTCCAGGCCTCCCAAAGAGCACAGTGCAGCAAGATTTTTCCTGGGTGACCATTGGAAGGAAAACGGCAAGGCTCCTCTACATCCCCATCAAGGTTTGAATGTCTCAAACCAAATCCTCAAACAGAAAACAGACAAAGCATGTCATACCATGCAGATGTGCCTTGGGTCAGTGTTAAACATGTTTTTGTTTTTTGTTTTGGTCCTGTGTTTTCCACCCTTCATTTACCCACTAAAAGGACTTGATTGTCTGTCTTGAATCAGTTGAATTAGTTCTTACTGTTTTTAAAGTAGGGTAAACACCTGTTCTTGTACTGTTAGGATTGTTTCAAAAAAAATTTTATGTTAGCACTGTTTATTATTATTCGAACTATTATTGCGTAAAAATGAACAGTTCTCACATTGTCAAACCTATGTGGAAATTAATTGAAGCGCTCCTCAGTGGAGTCATTTTTGAATCTCAGGTTACATTGAAGCATTACAGAATTCTCGCCAGATATGACAAGAATCATGGCTGATGTTGCAAAGAAACAATAAAGTGTAATGACAAAAGATACTATGCTGTGGTGTTTCTTTTACTTGTCTTATTGTTTGCGATTCCTTTCTGTGTTTGTGACATGATTACGAGCAGTTTGTGAGTTATTGGAGTCAGAGTTGGTCAAGATTCATTTAAGATGCCATATATTAAAACACGAGTCATGTGCTTAAGATATAGTCTTTCTGCCATTCCTTTCTAAATGAAGGATCGTGGAATCATGGATGTGTGAGTTTAAACCACATTCCAATTCTGCAGTAAGTGAAATGAACTAAATGTGTAAGTTGAAAGGATCTGAGCAGCAAAAGCAATCAACGTGTTTCGCAGTCATGAGGATATTAACAGATGGCTATGGCTACAATTGGAATTTTGTATTATTATTATTATTTTTTTTTGCCAACTTATCTGCAAATGTAATCATTCTTAACTAGTCTTGACAAGTAATTGTAGAACATAATGACTTTAAAAAAAATAAAAATAAATTGATCAAAAGCAACAGTAAAGACATTTATAAAGTTAAAACGGATTAAACAAAAATTGATGTTCTTTTGAACTTTTGAAAGAATCCTGAAATAAATTGTCACAGTTTGTACAGAAATATTAAGCAGCACAACTGTTTTCAACACTGATAATAATATTAATTGTTTCTTGAGCAGCAAATCGGCATATTAGAATGATTTCTGAGGGATCATGTGACACTGAAGCCTGGAGTAATTATGCTGAAAATTCAGCTTTGCCATCATATGAATAAAGTACATTACATATATTAAAATAGAAAACCGTTATTTGAAATTGTAATAATATTTCACAATATTACTGTTTTTACCTGTATTAACTGCATTAGAGACTTCTTTCAAAAACATAAAAAAAAAACATCTTACCAACCCCAAACTTTTGAATGGCAGTGTGAAGGCTTAAATTAATAAAAGCGGACACATGAAAAGCTTTTCCTGAATTGCTTTAGAAGACGTACTTTTCTATTGAAAACACCTGTCATGCACTGCTTTGCCAGCCTCATGCAATCATCACATTATCGTGCGTGTATTCTAAATGGGAAGAGGATGCAGTGCATCTGCATGGCAGACCAGTTTACCTTTTCATTTTGTGTGCTATGCAGCAAAATTCCTGCGGGATGAGAACTTCCTGTTTATTCTTGGTTTATTTCTTTAGATAGCTGTTGACTGTTTTAGATATCAAAGGTCATAAAACAATCCCAGGCTCCTTATTTTTAGTAACTGAGGATGTAGATTTTGACTGAAGCGGGGGATTGTTTTATCTGCCATTCATTTTTTCAAGGTGTTAGAATTAAAAGCTCTACAGGACAAACCGCTATTCTGATGTGCTGTGTTTTTCACTTTTTCTATTAGTTTAGAGTTTGAATTCTAATTATTTTTCCTTTTCTTTGACATTTAGTTTGTGACTAGAATTTATTCTGTATTAGAACTTCAACATATTCAAGTTTTTTAAAGACAGGGAACAAGAGACGGTAGTTCTCATTAATAGGTCCAGCTCAGCAAATATCACTTCATCAATCTGTTCTTAAGTTTAGCAGCATTGACACTTCAAATCTCATGAGCCATTTCAGGTTGCACTGAACACATTAGAGTGAAGTGAACATTTGGTGGTTTCGTTTGGACACAGGTGTCAGCTATGGTGACCGCAAGTTTCATCTCCAGAAATGACTTCAGTGTTAGTCTCCATCTTACATGTTCTCAAACAAAATGGAGACTTGTTAATTGGGTTCATCTGTTTTGAAATTCAAATACTGGTTTAATTTTTTATTGGCAACTTAGTTTCAATTTCTGCAGAGCATGGAAATATGCTTTTAGAAGTCAATGTCAATCAAAATTAAGTAGCTTAATGTTCACTGTTGATTTTTTAAATTAAAATAATACTAGAGGGTTATTTTTATAGATCAATTTATCAGTAGTCAGGCTGTAAAATTTTATTCTTTTAAGCGTTTCCTTGGAAACATAATTTGAAGACTTGGATTTCTTGAGCACCCTGTTGTTTTAAGTGACTTTCATTGAGTGACTGCTTTTTACCGGGGACATAAACACTGAAAGGTTATTGGTAATATGAATAAATGGTGCAAGGGGAAATACTTCCTGCTGTTTGATGTAGTTCTCTATGCACTGCATTAATCAGAATTCTCAGCAGGTGCTCCATTAATTACAGGAAACAGCCTGTTGCAAGCTATAGAGGTAGACACATGCTTTTCTGAAAGTCAGCTGAATCCATCAATAACCCATAGGGATGTATGATCTGGTAAAACTTTTTCCGCAGTGTGTAAATTGTCTGAACTTGTCTATTGATTATGCCAAAGTGTTTAGGGAAATAAACCTGACTTTTCACTGTAAAAATAAAAGATTTTGAGGGTTCATTATCATTACACTGAAGAAACCTCCTGTTGAACCTCTTTCTATCTGAGAAACTCACAAGACAGAACACATAAGTACACATAAAAAGTATGTTTTTAATTATTAAATATTAAATATATATTTTTAAATAATCTTCAGAATATTTAAGTACTGTTATCTCAATATTAATATTAAATAATATTATAATTACAAGTATTTAACTGTGAAGTTACTTAAGTGCACATTTGAGGAACCTTCACAAGGTGCCTAAAGGTTCCCCAAATGGTTCTACCAGTGTGGAAATGTAAGGAAACCCAAATGTTGCCTGCAGTATCTTTTTATTTTTACAGTCTGAGGAGATTTAAGGGGGTCTGAATACTTTCCGTACCCACTGTATATGCCAAAACAAGCCCAAAAAATGCCCATTTGTCTTCTGGAAATATGATGATACTCAAAATAATTAGTTTTTTCATGCTTCGATTTGTGTAAACAGGTTGATAAAAGAAAGACAGACTGGATTATTGCTCTTTTAACATACTGAGAAACTAATTTCGCTGTTCATCTTTCCGAACATAAATTCACAGAACCAGGCGTGTGGCAGGTAAATATCAACATGCTTCTTCTTTCTGGTGACAAAAACAGTTAGGACTCACCGAGATGCACAAACAACAGACAAGCTTGTGTTTGCCACATGAATGCTGATGCTCCCCACCAGTGCATTAGTGGAAAAAAATCTCTCTCAATATGTTAAAAGGGAAATCTCTTTGCAAAAAGGAATACTCACATTTCAGCAGGGTGCATGCTGTAGCATGGTCAGGATTCGGCTCTCCCTCTGCTTTTGGGGAGGAGCTGCTCTGAGGCGCTGTGTTTGCAGAATTCTGGTGAGGGGTTGAGAGGGGATATACAGCATTAGACTCAAACCTGGTCTGGAACCGGACAGAACGTCAACCTCCATGCAGTGCCAGGAGCTCCTCGTGTGGGGCCTGAGCTCGGCGATGATCCTGGGTGGGGTGATGCACTTTATATGTCTCATGAAGTCTCATGCTGCCTATGGCCGCTACATGGACTCCTCGGGCAGCTCCATTATGGTGCCCGCAAGGCTAGCCTGGTTCCTCCAGGAGCTTCCTGCTCTGCTGGTTCCCCTGCTTTTGATGCTGACCACGGATGGAAACAATGGCACCGGGAGACACCTGATGCTCTGGACCTTCTGCCTGCACTACTTCCAAAGGTAAGTCATGTGAACGATGGGACAATGTGGGAGATCATTGGTGGGGCTGAAGAAGAATTCAAAATGTCACTAACATCTTTCAAGATGTTAAATTACTAGGCAATTTAACATCTTGAAAGATGAAAGATCAGTAGTATAAAATGCAGACAGGCCAGAGAAATGGATTATAGCAACTGCACAATGACATACGGTCACAGCTTTTTTGCTTCCATTTACTTCAGTTACGCCATTTCACAAACCTGATGTGTAATCTAGCTCATCCAGAACAAATGAGGAAAAAATACCCTTAATCTGAAGACAAAAGGGAACTGGGTGGAATGTTCTTTTGCTTCTTTAGACTATCCTGCTGTGCTGACAATTAATCAAGGCTGCACAAACGTAACAGCAGAAATGTATTAATGTTTCATTTGAGTAATTACACATAACTGGGCCAAAACAGAAGCAGATGAATAAAGTGAGAAATGTTTGAATAATTCAACGGAAGCATGATCTGGACAAAACACGACAGGTTTGGGAACAGGTGTTGAATTACAAAGACATAATAACAGTGGAAGTGTAATGAACTGGGCAGATGACCAAAATATGGTATTTGATATGTATCAACACTCTGGTTTGCAGGAGCTGCATCTACTCCCTGCTGACCAAAGGGCGGCCGTATCCGCTTAACATCATGCTGTCAGGGATTGTGTTTTGCTCTATTAATGGTTTCCTGCAGGCACACTATCTGCTGCACTGTGCTACATTTCACAACACGTGGTTTTCCGATGCCTGTCTACTAGCCGGTAAAACTTGTTTACTGAAAGAATTGCTATAATACAGGGTTGTGTGCTTTTCAAAATTGAATTGAGCATTTGAAATGAGGTGGCAAACAGGATGCAAAATTGTCAGTTGAATTTGTTTTTAAGAAAGTATGAATAATTGGAAGGTACAGTCAAAGAAACTCATATAGGATATGAACAAATATATTAATATTTTTAGTATGAATTACAACTGTTTATTTTTATAAAGTAATCCAAAAACTGTGATAGTCATTTTGAGTTGCTGTATGAAAAATTTTAATCTGTTTGTATGGCTGTATTAATTGTTATAACAATATTTAATTTTTTTCTACCATCAAAGGGAAATATATTGAATCAATCTAGGATCAAATGTATTATATAGGGAATAAATATGCTGCTTAAATACTGAAAAGTAATGTAATTATTAATAAAATGATTTATTTGTTACAAAGCTTTTGTTGGGCTAATGAAATTCTTCAAATTTGTTGACCAGTTCATTTCAAATTCCAACACGTGAATTGAAAAGGAGATAATTCTTAAATTCAGAATTTTGCTCAACCTTGCTATTATATTTGAGAATGTATTTAATGAAAAAAATATTATGTAAATCCCAAAATAACTGCACTTAAATAAAGGTTCCAAAAGTGGGTTTTAGCAGCAATGTCATAGAAGAACCATTTGTGGTTCCTTTAAAGGGGTCATATGATGCTGCTAAAAATAACATTATTTAAAGTAAAGTTTAAAGTATAAAAAGTAAAAGAACAGTAAAAAAAAGTTAAAAAATACATTATTTTCTACATACTGTACATTATTGTTTCTCCTCTATGCCCCGCCTATTTGAAACGCGTCGATTTTTACAAAGCTCATCGCTCTGAAAAGCGAGGTGTGCTGTGATTGGCCAGCTATCCAGTGCATTGTGATTGGCCGAATACCTCAAGCGTGTGATGGAAATGTTACGCCCCTCACATACTGTTGATGCCGTGTCCGGCCGGATCGACGAGACAAAAACATTAAAACCCATTACAAATGAGGCATTTGTTGCATCCAGTGGGGACATAATTACTGATTATAATGACTTATACTGTCTTTTTACGCGTTGCGTTGCATCGCACCGCGTAAACATAAAACCCTGTCTGCATTTGTGATCGGAGAAATGACAAACAACAAGTGCTACTCTACACTGCCCAAAACTCGCGTTTGAATCATCAGTGGCAAGTGAGTCAGAACTGATGGCATTATAGTCTACTCTACCAGGATCAGTAAACAGTCCTCCATAAAATGTGCTGCACACATCTGGATATTTGGGTTAAACTGTTCTGGAACAGTGTTGTAAATACAACTTAACCACTGATTTGTAGTCGTGTCCTCTTTTGGAAGACCAAACAAAGCAGTTTCGCTTTCACAACGAAAAACATGGCCGCCTAGCGTGAGCAGAAGCCGCGGCATAGCGTGAGCTGAGGCCGGGCTAGAGTGAGCAGAGGCGGTGGGGTTGAGAATGGCGC